TTGATTGTAATCTTAATTGTTTATTTTATATTTACTTGTGTTTTTTTTGTAGACAGATATCTCTAGTAAAGCAACCCAAAGTGTCAAATCAGACATCATGAACTTATCCAAAAAAGATCACTCAATACACTTTGAGTCTGTCACAAAAGAAGTTGCTCAGATGTTCTGTCAGAGTTATGCACCTGGGATGAACGTAGAGATGGTTGACATTGATCCATCAAAAGATGAACAATTTCCTGGGATAGTGGATCTGAGGAAAGAGCTTGAAGTATGTCACTGAGTTCCAAAAGTTAACTTGCTTTTATGAGCAACAAATAAGTGGTTTCAAGGACAAATAAGTTTATTCAAGGTCAGGGAAAAGTCAGGGAATTTAAATTTGAGTTAGGGAAGATTTGCTGGAGACATCTTTATCTGGAAGAGATTTTTTTTTTCTGGGGACAAAATTCCTCCTAACACCTCTGTTTACATCAGAAATACATCCTTTTTTTGAAAGAATGTATTTTCTTCCATCTTTGAAGGAAGTCTGGGAAAAATGAAATTTCATGTAAATGTGAAGTTGTTCATCTTGTCTTGGCCCTCTTTATGATGAGGGATGGTGACAGTTTTCTTTTTGCAAGCAAAGGGGATAAATATTATTAGAATAGATGCTTGTGCTCTTCAGGTACTTACCTCTTTCCCAGTTTTCTACAACCAACAGTTTTTTTGACAGTTGGCTTAATTAATGTCTCTGGAGAACAAGAATGAACTTGTACAGTTATTTGGACTGGGAATTTCATCTGGGGCCCAATAGTGGAATGCAAACAGTTGTTCCATTGTGCCTCCCTTGCTTTACAGAAATTTTTTTTTGTCTTAAAAGTTTTTGTTTGGCTAGAAACAGGGCTGTGAACCTGTAAAAACTGAGATTATGGGGAGGTGTCATTGATTCCAGTCTTTAATTTTTAAATGCAATTCACTCTTTCCTATTTCATTATTTTTAATTAGGAGTGGAAGTGGATTTACGGAAAAACTCCAAGATTCAGTGTAACTTTTTCAACAACTTTATCAGCCAGACACATGGTGAGTGTGGTCTTCATTTCAAAAGTGTATTTGTAAGAATGTACATAAGTTGGTAAAGGCAATTATGGAAACTGCATTCATCTCCATATGATCTTACCTCCCCATTTAGCTTATTAGTACTAATGAAATAGATCAGACCACAAGATAAGAGTCTTCATTTCTTATTCTTTTTTCTTTTTCTCAGTAATGTTCCACATGAATAACTGGTAATTTGGGGGTGAGAGAGGATGTGAAGGTTCAGGAGAAAAGAGGAACAGTTTCAGTACTTTGATTAAAATTTCTGCTTACAGCAACAGTATTTAGTACATGATTAGAATAGATAAACCTGTCTGCTGGAGTGTTTTGCTGTTGAAATGTTAAATTCTCTTAACTAATTTACAAGGAAATTT